CAGAGAAAGAAAGTATTGTAGATAACGTATGAATTAGTCACAATAGCGGTAAATTTTCTCGTTAATGTGCAAGATCCGGCAGTGAATTCGGATTCAGAAAACCTTAAGAATAACTTATGGCGAGCATAGTGAGCTTAAACGTGATAAAAACAGGCAGAATTTAAAGACAACTTTTTTATTATTTTTGTTACAGTAATATTTTAACAGGAAGTTCCAATCACATACGTGGTTCTGCTGGAGGTCCTGCATAAAAAAGTACTATGTATAATACATTAAATAACAAGTTAGTACCTAAACAAACATTATAATTACGTTATAAAAATTTGTTGTAAAAGTATATAAAAATCCTGTCCGACATAATCAATGTATCTGTGCAAGAAATATTCTTAATTGAATATTTAGATTTTATTATTTAAGCACTCTATTTTTCTGAGAGAATAATCAAGATTATTCCAATCTTTAAAAATGTGATAAACAGGAACGTACTAGTTAAGGACGAGCCAACGAGAACTCGCTGTGGGCCCCAGCCATCATGGGTTCCAAAAATTAACATTGGAAAAGAAAAAAATATAGATTTTAATTTTCAAAGTCAAGATTAAGGTATTACAATTTATTAATTGTAAAAATCAAAATTTACGATAATATAACCGAAAAATTTTCGTTCGTACGTCGGACGGAAAAATAACAATATGTCCGGAAATATTTTTGTATTCCAAGCCGGATAAAATCACGATAAGACGGGAAAACTTTTTGTATGTTCGGAAAAAATTGGCGATCTCTTCAACCCCACCTCCCCGCCTCTCGCCAACAATTCTTGGGAAAAAATATTAATATTGGTCCATCGGTCACTGGGCCTGGGCCCCATCAGACGTTGTTTATTCGTTGTATTTATTAAGGTGCCAGCACTTCCCTGGTCATAAATACAGCTTTGCTGACACCAATTACGATTAGTTAGTGATAATCGAACATTGCATGCCTCGTCTTTTAGATTTGGTGTCATGGTTATGAACGTTTCTGTTAAGCTTAACGTCCAGGTTGACAATGTCAGGATGACCCAGCCTAGACCTAGGCCTTCTATTTTTATTGATATTTTTTTAATATTCAGCGCTTTTTCACATGAAAAGACTGGGACTAGGTGATTTGGGGGCGGGGCGGAGGAAGAATACAAGCCTGACGCAAGCGAAAAAATAGAAGGCCTAGTGGATTTCCCAACAACAAGGCCAAAACTGCCCTGAAACTGCCCTGATTGCGAAATGCCCAATTGTTGCGTTCTCAAACAGAATTATTTGCGACTTAACAGCGAATTTAAACCGATACAGGTAAAATAAACTCATTTATAGTATAACTTACTATTTTTATTTGTATACACGTCTAGAAAATCGGGATTTTTATCATAAAGTTTGAAGCAACACTATTATTATGTTGACAAGGTGAAGCGAAAGCACAAAATAATAATTCTTTTATTCGCAAGACAATCTACTGTTTTGCTTTGAATAACTATATTTGGGAATGAGGAATTTGAAATTATTGTTCAAATATTACGGATATACCATTTGTAAACAATGTACGTTTTTATATACAGTACTGTACGGGCTAATAATATATGTATCCGTTTTATTTAATAAATTATAATTGTATATGTGTTTGTATATTTTACAAACACATGACTGCTTCTTGCCAAAATTGAGAAAATTTATATTAATGTAGTTGTGTAGAAGACAAAATTTAATGAAAGATTCTACTTTTGGTATATATTTTGACTCATTTTGTGCTTTCGCTACACCTTGTCAAGTAAATGTCAACATATTAAATAATAGTGTTGCTTCGAACTTTATGATAAGAACCCCGATCTTCTCGACGAGTATACAAATAAAAATAGTAAGTTTATACTATAAATGAGTTTATTTTACCTGTATCGGTTTAAATTCGCCGTTAAGTTGCAAGTAATTCTGTTTGAGAACGCAATAATTGGGCATTTCGCAACCAGGGCAGTTTCAGGGCAGTTTTGCCATGTTGTTGGGAAATCAACTAGGCCTTCTAGGCTTGGTTCCTCCGCCCCGCCCCCAAATCACCTAGTCCCAGTCTTTTCAGGTAAAAAAGCGCTGAATATGAAAAAATATAAATAAGACTAGAAGGCCTAGGTCTAGGCTGAGTATGACCGTGCTTGAAGCTACTCGAACGCCATTAGCTTATGAATCAAGCGAAGAATTAGTGACAAGTTTATCTAGGCGTCAATTTTAGATATTTGTAAGACATCAAGAACGGCATTAGATGTAGTTCAATATGCATATAGCAATATAGCAGCACAGCTATGGGCGGCCATTACCACCAAAATTACTACATATGAGAAATGAATGGTCATAAACAGAAACGATATTTTACAAACACAAATGATTCATTGTGTTTAGAAATGATTGAAAATAACGTAGTCACGCGACTGGGCAAGATTGGAAATAATTCATTTAAACTTGCAATAATTCATTTGGCAGTGTTCTAATCCGATTAGTGTTGTCTTGATTCATAGAGACATGTCTCTGCAATGTGAAATAGCTCAACATGTTTTGCAATGATTTAATAAGTCCCGAACAAATTATTCGCTTAGTTATTAAATGGTTCATGCATTTTGAAACCGTTCACCGTGTTATGAAATAATTCAATAGAATTTGAAACGATTCAACTGAAGGAGCATTGTTCATCTTAATGATTCAACTAAATGTGAATTGATTCAATATAACGTGAATTGAATCAACTAAATGTGAGTTGATTCAAGCGCATGTCAAACGATGTGGTACGATGTGAAATGATCTGATGTATTTTGAAATGACTTAATTTGCGCGGTCTCGACGCATGTTGTATTGAAGTGATTCAACTAGGTTTTAATTGATTGACGTAATGTGCAACTACTTAACAAAATGTGAAGTAATTGGATTAGATGGTGATTGAAATAAGTCGTTTCCGCTTGGAAAAAAGAGAGAAGCAATGTCTTGTGCAAATGGAAAACATCCTGACTTGTTGTTGTTTCTATTTTGGAATTTTTTGTAAGTGATTTTGGCAATTTAGTTGACCACGCGTTGCTTTCCGATACCGCTTTGCAATTTTTTTCTTATTTGCATTTATCGTAGAATTTCTGTTAATTGATTGAGCTAGTTTTATGGAAATATAACAGTAAAAATGTGGTTTTCTTCTACCTTTTTTAAATGTGTTTGTCGTTTTGTTTTTTATAAACATGTCACTACACTAGATTTGTCGAGATTTTACAAGATACAGTTTTTATAGTGTATTTATAAAATTTGCACTGTCCTAAAATCCTAACTGCTGATTCAGCCAGAATCAGTTCATAAAAGAAATGTTTTAAGCTAACGTTCAGGCCTAAATACTATGACACCAAACCCCTTCCTTTAGTGGCCCATCTCCCCGCTCCGGCAGGCTGAATAATTTGCTTCCATCGACACTGCACGTAGAGATATACACTTAGCAAACGATATTGCATTGTCACATAAAACTGTTTGCATGAAAGTCCAGTGAACACCTTTTTCTAAATGAATTGCATAAAGTCAGTTGAAATTAAATTTGGTGTCAAGCAGCACTGAGTTGGAGAAAAGATAAAGTTTGGATGATTGAGTAACTAGAATACTATTTTACGCACGTTAATAGTCTCCTCTAGAACCTGAGGCAGTTAATTGCAATTGAAGATATACGGAAGGGGTCATTCGAACCCTGTTTTATCATAGGTCTCCAGAAAAGGTCTTTTATGTTTTTTAAATCCATACAATTTGCTTTAAATGCATTGCTTTGACATGAAATGCTTCAATGTACAGTAAAACCTCTATAATTTCTATTACATGAAGTACAGCGTGAGGAGATAAAAGCGATAAAAGTTGAAAACGAAGAACTGCGCCTTCTCTGCACTAATAAGAATCCCGTATTCAACGCAGAAGGAGAAAACAAAACTGATCAAAAGCACTGTGGTGACAAATCACCCACTTCTCATAGTGACTGTGTGAATGTAGATTCACATGAAATTGAAAGCAACCAGACACTCATTAAGAACTCCCTAAATAATACTGCACATGAGCAGACGAACAGGTCTGCATGCAGTTTCAAAGAACCATGCCAATCAAAGCAATGAAGTAGAGATGATCCATGCTGAGGAACAATCGTTTCGCTCAAATGTCCTGACAGGGAAAGAAGACCAACCGGTGTCAGATGAGGCAACTGAGAAACCCAGCACGTCCACGTCTACACAAAGGATTAATTTCATTAATGCTCCTCAACGTGCCAAACAACAGAACTTAACGTATGCGGAGGTAGTAGAACAGCATCTAGCTTCAAGCACAACGGCTAAAAATAGTGAAAAAGTGACATTTCGTCAAAAGCAAGGAACAGTAAAGCAATCTCAAGAATGTAACAATGGAGTAACTGGTAACTCAAATAATGAATTCACTGGAGTTGAGCGTAAGCGGAATAAAGTAAAAAAAAACATCTATGTGAAGAAATATCAGGACGAGATTGAGCGAGGCCTTTCAGGCTGTTCATGGACAGACCAATCCCTCGACTCAATCGCAAGCATTGAGAATTATGTTCAGAAGATAACATACAATCTGAAAACGGCAGCGCTCTCGTCAATGCCAATTAAGAAGTCTAAACCATTACTGAAGCGTTACTGGAATACAAACCTGTTAGCTTTGAACAAAAAGTTCAAATTATGCAGAAGAACCTGGCTAAGAAATGGTAAACCTAGAGGACGAAATTATCAGTCCTATATTGAATACAAAAATCTTAAACGTGATTTTCGTAAAGCACAGCGGAGAGCAATTTATGATGAAGAAATGAAGGATCTAGAATATTTAGAAAAAGAACATGACATTGACAGAAGTGACTTCTTCAGGAAAATTTCCCGCATGACTAAGCAATCACAAAACACAAATGATGCCTTACTCGTTGATGGTAAACGCATAGATGTCGAACAGGAATTACTTAGTATATGGCGAGAGCACTATGAAGACCTGTATACTCCAAAAAATAATCCTGATTTCGATAAAAACTTCAAAATGCATGTCGAAGAAAGTCTTCACAATATCGAAGAAGAAAGTTATTGAAATAAAGATCCATTAGATATTCCATTCAAGGCAGAAGAGATCCAGAGTGTATGCGATAAATTGTCAAATGGCAAAGCGGGTGGTCTAGATAAACTTGTTTATGAACATTTTAAGTATAGAGGGTCGTTCATGCACCAAGCTTTGACAAGGATCTTCAATGCAGTTCGTCAAATAGAATATGTTGCTGAATCTTGGACTTTAGGTAATATCTTCTCGATTCTTAAAAAAGGTAAAAAGAATAAACTTAATAAGGGAAGTTATCGAGGTATAACGTTGTTGAATGTGATGGGAAACATTTTTGAACGTATTCTTTTAAACCGCTGGATTCCAAAGTTTAAGGCTATCGGTATCCCTAACGATATGATTTTCAGTTTCCATATCAGAAAAATAAAAGCTGTGTATCATCCAGTTTCTTTCTACAAGAGATCATTAATCATAACATAGAAAAAGGAAGCAAAATGTACTGCTGATTTTTGGACTCTTCGAAAGCCTTTGACTCCATATGGCTAGATGGCCTCTTCTATAAATTATTTCATCTCGGCTTTAATGGGAAATCCTGGAGAATTCTGAGAAACTGGTATGGTAAAATGCGTTGTTGTGTTTCTGTAAACAGTCTGCAATCTAACATGTTTCCTGTCAAGCAGGGCGTTAGACAAGGAGGAGTGCTATCGCCATGGCTATTTCTCTGCTTTAAAAATGACATTCCTGAAATATTAAAACCAATTGACAATGGGCTCAAGATTGACAATATCCATTGCAATTCGGTGTTGGTTACGGATGACATCACCTTATTGTCACTTAGGGTAAAGGGACTGCAAGGCTTACTAAATGCAATTGAATCCTATAGCAAGAAATGGAGATTTTATTTTAATTCGAGCAAAACTGTCGAAGTGACTTTCGGAGAAAAAACTACCACAAATTCCGTTTGCAAACTGACCAGGGAATGGTATTTAAACGGTGTATAAATTACAGAAAAAAGTTCGTGGGAGCATGTCAGAATCTCCTTGAGTGGGAATTTCTCCAGCACGGAGCGAACGAAGGCTGCAGCAAATAAAGGAAAGGCTTACGTTGGCGCTCTAATGTAAGCTAAAATACGACCTACTGGACTAAATCCAACGATTGGGGCGAACGTTTGGAGATCATATGGCATTCCAGCCATGTTATATGGAAGTGAAGTCTGGTGAAACCTAACACAAACTGAAGAGGAAATACTAAATCGTGCTAATGCCTTTGCTGCAAAAAGAATTCAAGGTCTCCATGGAGCCCTTGGCGCTATTGGGATGTGGCAAACAACTGCATATATTGACAAACAAAAACTTTTATTTCTTGGTTCCCTTTGTCGCTCTTCGCCTGACACCTTGCAAAAGCACCTATTTCTACATAGAGTATTCTCACATCTTCATCAGGAGAACTCTCGAAGTATTGGTTTCGCAGCGGATATTTACAAAATACTTGAAACATACAGCCTAACGGACTATATCACAAACTACCTAGCAACCGGTGAGTTTCCCAACAAAACCAATTGGAAGAAAATGGTTAAAGAACAAATTCATCAAATACAGACGGAAGTATGGAAGGAAAAGCACTTGCAAAAAATTCACACAAGTTTAAAGCCGCTTCAACACTGGAGTGTAACAAGGCGCAATCCATGCGTGCGAGAGATAATAGCTAACCTGGTAAATTTGTTATGCGGAAATGTTCCAGCACTGGTGTTATCAGCTGTAATAGATAACGATACTGAATATGTATGTCGTGTATGCGGTGAATATCTGCTTGATGTTGGAAAACACTTTGTAATGAACTGTTCAGCAACGAATCTAGAGCGTAACACAATGTGGGACAAATTAATGGATAGCCTTCCTATACAAAGCATGTGCTATATCCACAACCTAGAAGAAGAGGATATTTATACAGTCCTATTAAGTGGAAACTGTCCCTCTCTTACCACTGAGGAACTTGATAGATTTCTGACAATAACAGCAGGCGGAATATTCAACATATTCCTCAAAGTGCGTGATCTCAATGCGATACAAGTTAACGAATAATGTAGGCTAATTAACTGCAAATATTGACACTTTCATAATTCTTAACGTAAACTTAGTTTTAAAATTTTAATATTGACTTTTAACTATTTTAATAAATTCTAGCTACTCATATAATAATTTATTCATAACTGTAAAGTCTGCTTTTTGCAGATTCTCTTCAGCACTGTAAGTTATATAATGAATAAATTATCTATCTATCTATCTATCTATCTATCTATCTATCTAAAAAAAACACAATGTAGAAGAATTACATTTTAAATCCAGAAACACTACTGAGTTAAACATTTTACGGTCCATGTTCATATACCAACTATATATACCAACTATAGTTTGTGGTTGGATATAGGCGCATGATAGAAAATATAAGTAAGTGAAGAGGCAATAGCACAGGCTGCAGCTATCAATTTCACCCTTCATATTTTATCAAGCTCTTTTGCCTTAGATCGGTACCATTATAACAATGCCAACATAAACTTTTTTTAGACATTTGGGGTTTGCTTCTGTCGTTTTTCCCGTTCAACAATCGATCTTTTCTTTTAGTTTTGAGAACTTGCCCGCATTATGAGCAGTGCAACAATCCAAAAAAGGGCTATATCAGGAATGAATTACACGCGAATGGTTCATAATGGTAACCTGCGCTTTGTTTTGAAAACTTTCACGCAATATGAGCAGTGGCATAGCCAGCCCAACAATTTAGTCCCGATATGCAAATTCAAAATTCTTATCATTATTTCTTTCTTTAGAAATTGATTGTTTTCACAGTCAACGAAAACGAATATATTTGCATACCGGGACTAAATCGTCGGACTGGCTACGCTACTCAATATGAGCAGCATAACAATCCAAAACAGGACTATTTCCGGAGTGGATTACACCCAGATGGAGTGGATTCCGGAGTGGATTACACCCAGATGCAGAGGATTCCGGAGTGGATTACACCCAGATGGTTCGTAATGATAACCTGCGCTGTGAAATTTTTCGTTTTCTTTCGAGGATCATTCTTGTTATCACAAGTAAGCATTCCTCGCTTCATCTTTTCGCAGAAACATTTTCAAAATTGAAAACAACGTTGTCTCCAAGGAGGGTTTCAGCCAAGGATTTATATTGCATTTTACTTGACTTTACTTCAGTAGTAATGTTAGCAGGGGAAAATCAAATATAAACAACGCGTTGTAATAATAAGAGCAAATCCATCTAATACAGCATTTGCATGTCATTTAAACAAAAAAGAAGCACAGTAGAATGATTGGTACATCAATAACACCGAAAGAAGGACAATAGCGCGATGTGAACATCATTTGTGCTAGTAAGTAGGTTCTATAACAACACGATATTATATATTCCGTAAAGTGAAAATTAATTAGAAGAAACAAAGAACAATTGCATGAACTGATTAATCATTAACATTTTCACAACAACAATACTAGCAATAAATCAAAACACATTTAACCACAACAAATAATCATTAATATAAAGTAACATTAAGGCAGACATTAAGGCAGACATTTCCCGTCCTCACATGCAACTTCGTATGAATGACAGACAAGCCGCAAGAAATGAACAACTAGTCTACCAATGGGTGAATTTCGAAAACAAATACTGTAATGATAGCAGCTGCTGAAAGAAATATGCACTGCATAAACGTACCGAAATATACCGCATGGGGCAGACATATGTAGACATACTTGCCACGATGTCTTGCAAGAGAACACATCCAGGGCTAAAACATACTAAATAGCATTTTTGCTGTTCAGTGTGTGAACAGACAAACATTAAATCTATATTTGTTAGAACACGACTTCTGACTATATATACGCCTTTATTTTAATGATTATTTGTTGTGGTTAACCACAAGATGTAATGAGTTTTGATTTATTGCTATTTCAGCTATTGTTGTTGTGAAAATGTTAATGGTTAGTTAGTTCATGCAATTGTTCTTTGTTTCGTCTAATTGATTTTCACTTTACGGAATATATAATATCGTGTTGTTATAGAACCTACTTACTAGCACAAATGATGTTCAAATCGCTCTATTGTCCTACTTTTGGTGTTAATTATTGATCTACCAATCATTCTACTGTGCTTCTCTTTTGTTTAAATGACATGCAAATGCTGTAATATACACAATTTATTCAAATATTGCGCCATTACTACACTCAAAGTTTCGTTAAATGGAAACAAGAAATAACGTTCTTTCATCGAACGATTCGAACGGGCATTATTCTCAACAACTAATTCTCTAGTGCAAAGTTCCCGATATTCAAAATATTTTTTTTCTGCTTTCTGTGTAGCCTTGGTTATTTTACCAGCACTTCCGTCGCCATTTTCAACACCTATTTTCTTGGCAACAGCAACAGTTAGCTTCATTTTTTTTGTGGTCATTTTGCAGGAATATTTTTCAATATTTTTCACTCAGAGTAACATCACAAGCATCAGTTTGCTTCATGCTACGCCCGGCAAGCCTTCCAAGTGG